CATAGATTCCTCCCAGGAAAGTGAGCACATCCAGACTGACTGAAAAGTCCCTGGTTTTGTTCTTGCTCATTCCAATATTATACTGGGTAAAAATAAACCTACCTAGAGAGCTGGTATAAAAAAACCTCTGCTCTTATCAAAGGTAAAAGAAGATATACTGGGATAAACAAAACATGTATGAAACTCGAAAATAAAATCAGAAAGAACAGGAATGAAATGTGGGACATGCTGGCATGTTTATTCTGTTTGGATGAGTCCTACATGCGTGGTTTTTTGTTTGTTTGTTTGTTTGCTTTTTGCACAATGGGTAGCACCAGTCAGTTTAGGCTATACATCCTTTAAATTCCCATAATGTCTTGTACCTATCACCATTTTGGGAATTTTGGGATAGCAAGAGTGTGGCTACAATCAGAAGGTCTTGGAGTGATGAAATATTTAGTCATATGAACCACCTGAAACTACTGACAAATGTGACTGCGGGCTTACCAGAGAATTGTTTATCCAGAGTTCCTTCAAAACCATTAATATCATACTTTCTTATACAAATTTGTGGTGCAATCACATTTGGAACACAGTTGGAATTCTGGTCAAGCCACCTGTCAAGGTGTATTGTTGAAATAGAAAAATAACACATGATCATGTGACCAAGCTGTCCTTCAAGTAAAATTGCTAGGGAAATAAGGAAGAAGTAATGCAATAGAAGTTTGCAGAATCCTACATGTGTGGAGAAAATTGTTATAGTTTTTCTTCCTCTCTCATAAATCTGGAACTCAGGATCACTCACTAAAGAAGAGCTATGGGAAAATTAGGATAGATTAGATCAGGGGTCCTCAAACTTTCTAAACAGAAGGCCAGGTCACAGTCCCTCAAACTGTTGGAGGGCCGGATTATAATTTGAAAAACGCATGAATGAATTCCTATGCACACTACACATATCTTATTTGTAGTACAAAAACACTTAAAACAATGCAATGATTAAAATGAAGAACTTTTAACAAATATAAATTTATTAGTATTTCAGTGGGAAGTGTGGGTTTGCTTTTGGCTGATGAGGTAGGATTGTTGTTGTTGTTGTGTGCTTTCAAGTCATTTCAGACTTAGGTTGACCCCGAGTGAGGGCCAGGTAAACAACCTTGGGGGGCCTTATCCGGTCCCCGGGCCTTAGTTTGAGGACCCTTGGATTAGATGAAGTACAGCACACCAAGTTTCACTACCTCCTCAGATGGGCCAATTTGCCTGTTATACATCACTTGCTCTCCACTTTCAGCATGGAGCCCATTAGATACACAGGGACTTCTGGTGGGGTCCATGCTGAAAGAGAAGAGGAAGCAATGCATGCCTCTGCTGCGGTAACATAGAAGCCATCCCCTGTTTCTTTACCAGCAATTGGGGGAAGCCAGGTGACAATGCTTCCCCTCATGGGATGACGGCTATGGTGATGGGTTCTCCATGTCCCCCACCAGGAATCCTTGGATTCACCAGGATGTATAACGAATCCATGGGCCTTTGTGATGAGGTCCAAAGTGTGTAATCTACTACCACAAGACAAGGTAGTGATAGCCGCTGAATTGAATGGCTTTTAAAGAGGAGTGGGTGAACTTATGTGGGATAATGCTACCAATGGCTACTGGTGTCTATAGATGACCTTCTTCATCAGCACAATGTGATTTTGAGTTCAATTTGTTGGGGAAAATGAATGGAAGGATATTATGATGTCTGTGACTTTTTAAGGGTCTTCCCAGAAGCAACTGGTTGATCCTTATATGAATAGAGTACTGAATTGGATAGGCTTTGGTTTTGTACCTTAAAACTGATGCCAAGTGCAGGTCTCCATCTTTAGCACCAAATTCTACAAACAGCATCCATGAGGGAAGTTGGAAATGTGGTTAAGAACAAGACAGAAGCACTTTTCTCAGACTTTCAGAGTCTGAGGAGATGTAAAGGAAGGTAGCAAAGATGATGATGGGAATGTTATGGAGAGCTTACAGTATGCTATGGAAAAAATAATATATTGCATCTGAACATGCTCAGAATACCTATCTTTTACCACCCTGTAACTATAGCCAGCTCTTACAAATCTTGGGAATCTCTGGCTCAGAAGAGATGAGCTTGAGCCTCAATCTCCATCCATTTAGCAATAACCCAATAAAAACAGGGGCACTTAAGTTATAGCTCTGATGTGATTATCTTATTATCCTCTTTTTATTATTCTAGTCCAACCAGAAAACTGCTGGCTCTGTGATTTCCACTCTTAGTATCTGCGGTTTGACGTCACATTGTTGTCACAACGTCCTTTCATACATCTGCAGGTGTTTATTATGGCAATTCATATAAATATAGTCTTAATTCCATTTGGCATTGGTCTATATGTGAGCTTAAGGACACAGAAATTTTGTATGGTTGTATATGGGATATTTTAAATTGAAATAGCAGTTGATAATAATATGGCAAATGTTATATGTATTTGCGACAAGTACATTAAAATGGGGGATTATGTAGTCCTGTTATTTCTCCAAATTCTCTGCTTTGCTCTCATGAAGGGCACTCATTGTTCACATATGGTCAATTTCAATTACTGGATGCTATTTCATAACTTATCATCGAAGATACTAAAGATAGGAGCAACCGAAGTTTAGAGATAGCTATCTCACCATTCCCACTTTTGTTACCTTGACTTGTTACCCACGGGCAATTCCTACATCATAATAGTCACCAGGTGTCTGGCACTTTTTCTTTGATGTTAGACCATGTGGTTTTTACATTACATGAAAGGCATGGGGTGGAAGTACATGACAAATCACTTGTTTAGCTCCTACACCACAAGATCTAGAACTTAGACTGTGCAGTCTTTTCACACTGCACGGTTACTGACCTACCGTTCCTCTTTAGCTGCCATAGTCCCATCCAATTGAATCCTGGCATTTGCAGTTTAGGCAGAGTTACATATCATTCCCTGCCAAGAATTCTAGTGGTTCATGAAACTATAAATCCCAAGATCCCACTGGCTACATATTGGAATTCTAGAGTAGAAAGTGAATTTCATACCTATTAACACAGAAAAGTATAATTTGCTGTAAGCTTTTATCACCCCATCCTGCTAGTTAGGTTGGTAAAAGATTGCACGAGACAAGAGGGGCATGAGTCTGGAGGTTACATGAAAACTATACCACTTTCCTCACACCATCAATGTTGTTTTTAAAAGAAGGTTGGATATGGAAAAAGGCTTTGGTTTTCAAAATAAACTCTCCTGAGCTATGCACTATGGATTGCTGCCTAAAACAATTCCTGTAATAAACAGACAAAAATCTGGTTTCATATCTTGGGAATGATAACACGTTAGTAAAATATATTTGCTGCTTTTTCTTCACTGAATAACTTTATGTGACTTACAGTATATCTGGGTAATAATGTTATGCAAAACCATCAAATTATCAACAAGGTATCATAAAATAGTCATAAAAGTACAGTATTCAAATACAAAAAACAACAAAACATTCAAACAACTGCATCTTGAAAAAGCCATTTCTTTTTCAAGAAATAGAAAAAAGAATATATTAAAGAAGATGGTACATAAAGTATTCTGCTAAAGAATAGTTTTAAAGCAGTGGTTTCCAACCTTTTTTTTTAACCAGGGACCACCTGACCAGGAGCCACTTTGACCAGGGACCACTCCCCAACATTAGTACCAAAAGGGTTACAAATTAGTCTTTTGGCCATCTTTAGATTCGGTTTGGTTATTTGGAGTGTTGATTCAGAAAATTGCATTGAATAAACCACATCAGCTCTAGTTTCTGATACAGAACATATACCATTCAGTAGTCACTTTCTGCTTGCCCACAGAAAACCATATTTAATAATCTACAGCTCATGTGGTAGTAGTAATTTTTTTGTGAGTAGTCAGCCTCTCTCCTCCCAACATCCCTGTTGCATTGGCACTATAAGAGGGTTTTGCGAGATCAGTCGCTCTCGTTGCCATGTGATTTTGAGACAATAGTGTAATAATGGTGAGGCCGCAGATCATATTTTTGTTCTTGTGGACCATTGGTGGTCCACAGACCACAGGTTGGGAACGACTGCTTTAAATGGTGGCTGAGAATATTTCTACACTGACAGAATTAAATGGTGGTATGATGTCTGTGTTGAACTTGCAAAGCAACCTCACCAGTGGTTGAAAATAACTGGCCAACAGACTCACCTAAAGGAACAAATGTTTTTGTAGGCTGAGAGATTTCAACTGGTGACATCTCTTTCTGGGTTTTAGCACATGAGCAATAAAAACATGATGGGAGACTTATGCAGCTTGCCCTTGTAGTGATAATCTAAAAGCAAGAGAAGGTACTTCTTGATAGCCCATGCTATGTAGTGTATATACCTACACATAGCTACACATTAGTTTAGAATAATAACTGTACTGGTCCCTGTGTAGGATAAGTGGTTTGGGGCACTCAGTAAACTGCAACTAGTTTAAATGTAAAGCAAGTTAGGTGACAGCTTGATATACCACCACTCTAGGAGTATCTGTCTCAGCCTTTGGTTCCATGACCCCTTCTGGATACTGATTTTCAAGTCCTCTTACATTCAGTGGCATAGTAAAATGGTGTGTATTATATAAAATGATAAAACCAAGATTTGGTTTTTGGATTTTAAAAAATATTTTCAAGCTGTGGATGGTGGAATCTGTAGACAAAGAGCCTGTGGATAAAGCAGCCAACTGTAAATTCTGCTTGTCTCTTTGAAGGAGGTAAAGAGAACTAGATGAATTTACTGACTGAATTATTTTGTCTCCAAGATGCAGGCACATTGGAATGGACAAAAATTAAAAGGACTTTAAAAAAAACTTTAAAAATTTAATAATTACTGTTACCTTTATTTATATGCTACTTTTCCTCCCAAAAGAGGGACTAAAGATTGGTTAAAAATATCAGAGACCACTACTTCTTAAACTGTGGATCTTGACCGCAAATGAGGTCTTCTTACTTATTGCTGGGGTGGCAAAAAATGGCAAAGATTAAAATTTTCAGAATGGCACCTACATTTACATTTACACACATTTATTGTGCAGTGTTTCTGTTGTGCTTCAGAAAAAAGGAAAATCAGCCTGTTTAACAAACCTTGTAAATGCTGATTTCTTATAAGTAAATGTTTGATTTTTACACCTATTTTATATACCTGTATATTTGGGGTCACGCAAAAAATTCTTGGGCCCAAAGGGGTCATGAGTGGAAAGGTTTTAAAAGCCCTGCCCTTGTCAATGACTAATGGTGAATAATGGTTGGAATTCCCGTCCAACATCTGGATAATTGCATGTTGTCAACTTCTGCTCCAAGGAATATTAAAAATAATGCTCATAAATTATTTTGGAAATCATGAAAATAACCCCATGCATTTGGATTTGAACAGACAACAATCATGATCATCATGTTCTGCTTATGAGCTTGTTTTAATAGCCAATCATTGTAGTGTTGTAATCATCATCCCCACTGCCCTTTTTTATTTAATATAATTTGTGAACTGCTTATCATAATTTAATGTCTAAGTTGTAAACAAACGAAAGATGATATAAATGACTGAAGAGCACACAGCACAATAAAATTCCAGGAATAAAAACTACGATAAACAAGAAAGGAGACTCTTAACCGAACATTAAGAAGAATGTACAGATACTATAAAGGGAACAGACTCCCTCAAGAAGTGGGGGGCTCTCCTTCATTTAAGGTTTTTAGATCGAGGTAGGATGCCCACCTTTGGAGGTACTTCAATGGTGGGTTGGATTAGGTGCCTCAAAAAACACCTGCAATTTCAGGAGGTTACAACAATATGTAATAGATATTGCCTCCCAAAAGTAAGGGGACTGGGATTGGGAAAAAAACACACTTCTGATTCACTGCCAACAATATTGAATAAAATAAAATAAAATATCTCTGGTTGACAATGAATGAATGACAATCACTGTCCTAAATCCATATCCTAAAATAACTCTCTCTTTTAATTTTTGTTTTTCAGTTTAACATAATCTTCCTTTTACGTGTCCAGGGATATCACATTGTTATTCCTGACCTAAATCAATGATCATTCCCACCGAACACAGACTTGCATACTGAATAAACTGCTGACCAAAAAAAGAAATTTCACTGAACCAATGGCCTATTCTAATTTGGATTAGCGATTGGATTTTGGCCTTTGAAATCAAACTTGTTACCTCTGCTTTAGAAAAATGAAACCAAAGTGGGAGTATACTTTGCTCAGCTTGCGTTGATAAGTTATTTCTACCAAAGCATGCCACTCAGGGCTCAGACAATCTGATTTATTTTAAAGGAACAGAAATCCCCTTTTCTGTGATAAGACCAAGCTGACAAAGTTTATGCCATTTCCAAGGTCAACAACAAATTGACTTGATGTTTGCTTGCCACTACCCTTCATTCAAAGGCTCTCACTCTTAGAATCAATCCACCCTCCTTGCTAATCCACTTTTGGGTGAAACTCTTGAGACTCCTCAAAGTTCAAGAAAGGAAGAGAGATTGTGAACACAGGATTTTGCCCCTGGAGTGGATCCCAATAAAAAGGTAGACCTTTAGCTCTTGATGGTAGAAGGGGGTAAAAGTTCATAGCTCATCTTCTGAAGGCAACACCTGCTGAGAAAATTATATCTCAACTGCTAGAAAAAGGACGTTGAGGGTTTAAGTCCGTCTCTTCTCCATTATTTGGAACAGGATGTCCTTCAGGCTCTGCTATTCCAGGATCCTTTGTGCTTTCATCTGGGGAAGAACAGTCAGCTGGAGCCTGTCCAGGGATTGATGATACCTGGGGGCGAATACCTGATGGAAAGCATAATGCAATAGAGTAAATAAAATACATGTATTTACCCATGACCTTATTACATTAGACTAAGGATTATCCAGACATCGTGGTTAATCAATGGGGTTGTGGCAGGGGGCGTGGAGAATCCAGCGCTCCACACCCCACATTTATTTATTTATTATTTAAAACATTTATAAGCTGTCCTTCTCGACCTTTGCACTCAGAGCGGCTTTCAAACAGGCAACAATTCGATGCCAAACATAATATAAAACACATCATAAATACATCCACAAAATTAAAATAATTCTAAATATACATTAAGAACCTGTTTGGCAGATTAAAATCACCAGAATTAAAATAGTCATCCAAAGCAGTCCAAATCTGGTCCAATAAATCTTGTCTTTCCCAGTAAACAAAGTATTACATGAACGCCTGATCACATAACCAGGATTTAAGCTTCTTCTGGAAGGTCAGGAGGGAGGGGGCAGATCTAACCTCATTGGGGAGGGAGTTCCACAGTCGAGGGGCCGCCATGGAGAAGGCCCTGCCTCTTGTCCCCACCAAACGTGACTGCGATGGAGGTGGGACCGAGAGCAGGGCCAACTTGCCCTGAACCCCATCCCATGGAGTGAAGCATTGGCACTCGGCTTTCCCCATTGCTCCTAAGGCAACATGGAAAGCCTCCCTATTGCCAAGGCAGTGTGCACCACTTCCTCTCCTCATTCACCATGGATCCAGGCTGGAAGTTGGTGTGCATCATGGGAAGGGCTCCATGGTGAAAGGGGAGAAGTGGCGTAGGACGGATAAATCAGCCAGTTTGATGAGGTCACCAGACTTATATGCAAAAATGAAACTGGAGTATCACTTTAAAAATTATGACATTAGCAGTTGGCAGGCTTGGCCAAAGTCATGTTGCTGCCTGAAGAAAAAAACAGAACAAAATGCACTATACAGTTGACACTTACTGCAGTGCTCGCAATAGGACAATCTCTTTCTAGTGGCACCTAGGGACAGCTTAGGGGGAACAGGGCAGAAGTCATGGTGGATACAATGCTCTATTGCTCCCTCTCCTCCCCTATGTCGGATCTACCACCTGAGCCCCTCATTTAGCCAAAACAATTGGTCTTGGCATCTGCGGTCCTAATCCAATGATCGCTATAATGGGCAGAGGTGGCTTGCCATTTCCAAGAATCTCTGGGTGCTTTATCTTCTAGAAAGGTAGCCTGTTTTAAAACTACCCGTAGTTATAAGTTCCGCTGTGGGTAAGAGTAGGCCCTGGTTTCAATCTCTCATGCCTGAAAGTTCTTACATGGAGTGACATCCTTCCTTCTATAGGACATTTCAGTGCAATTTCGTAGTCAGAGACAATGAGATGAACGGAGCTTCCTTCAGAGCAGATAACCTGAAAACCACGCTGTAAAACTATCCGCTCAATTATATGGCTATTCTGACAGTGCCAGAAGGCGAGAAACACAAGAGCTGTAAAGGAAATTATCTCTTCCTGCTACCCATTATCTGACCTTGTTAATATTCTACTAGAAAACCTTTTTATTTTTTAACCTAGTGGAATGCTGTAGTTGGCTACTGCCTAAGAACAGGCTGAAACCAGATTCTTCGGACAGAGGGAGATTTTAACATTTCTTTTTAAATCCCGGTTGCCAGTGAAACTGCACATGTTGTTAAACTCTTCCAAAATTTCCGGTGAAGGATCGAAAGCTATTATTTCCATAAAGGCAGTTTGTGCTTGTAGCAGCAAAAGAAAAGACTATCACAGCACCATAGGTCAAAATGAAGAAAAAGATTACTGTTTGTGATTGGGACACTCGTCCTGCTTAGTTTCTAGGGCAAAGGAAGTAAAAACCACTCTCAAAACTACTTTCAACTGTCTAAAATTATTGAGTGACTTATTATTGAAACCAATGGGACTTCAGTTTCATTTATTCCAGGGGATCTGCTCTTAGTCTGAGTAAACATACTTTATCTAGGAAAATCTACTGAAAAGATTATATGACTGCCATCTTCAATTGTGTCAGATAGATGATTTAGCCATTTTCCCCTCTATTGCTCCAGAAAGTAAGGCATGAGTCAGTGACTAAACATTACGAGAAACTTGACAGCACAGACTAAAATTTCCAAATTAGTAATACCCCCAAACCCAAAAATGTCCACATAGGTGATTGTACTAGAGACACTTTTGCTTCTGATGGTTCAGTATACATAAACTTTGTTTCATGCACAAAACTATTAAAAAGAATGTATATGAAATTATCTTCAGGTTGTGTATATGAGCTGCATAGGAAACATGTTTAGACTTCAGTTCCGTCTCCAAGATATCTTATTACACACATTATTTTAAATACAGGCATTCTAAAACTTTTTTAAAAATCTGAAATCCAAAGAACATCTAGTCCCAAGCACTTTGGATAAGGGATATGAAGGTTATATCTATTATGTAGGATTGATGCCCTCTAACATCAGGCAGTCTTGAATAACACACACTTTCTTGACCCATTTCAAACTGGCTTTAGACCAGGATACGGAGTTGAGACCACTATGGTAATCTTAGTGGATTATTTGCATCTCAACATCAACAGGATGAGTGTATCCCTGTTGGTACCTCTAGACCTCTCAGCGGCTTTCAATACCATCGGCTATGGTATCCTTCTGGAATGCCTGACTTGGGGGGGGGGGGGCGGGGGGGGGTGAGAATTAGATGCACTGTACTGCAGTGGTTTGGGTCATACTTCTCAAGCAGGTTCTAGATGGTGGTGCTTAGGGGTAGCTAATCCTCAAAGAAGGAACTATCATATGGCATCCCATAAGTCACCATTCTATCCTCAATGCTTTTTAATATTTATATGAAACCACTGGGAGAGATCATCCAGAGGCATTGGGCAGGGGGCTATTAGTATGCCAATGACACCCAAATATATTTCTCCATGCCTCCAAAATCAGCTTCTGCTAAGTACAGTGTATCTCCTGTGAATTAATGCCTGGGAGAAATAATGGGCTAGATGAAGAAAAACAAATTGAAACTGAATCCAGACAAAACAAAGGTGCTTGCCATCAAGGTTCTATATCTGGGGATGGAGGTGTGTCAACCAGTTCTGGATACGGTTACACTCTCCTCGAAAAACTGCATTTGCAGCTTGGGAATGCTCCTGGTTCCGTCTCTCCAAATGCCAGTCCAGGTAGATGCAATGGTCAGAAATGCTTACTATCAGCTTCAACTGATATGCCAGCTGCACCCCTTCCTAGATTTGGAGGGCCTAAAGATGGTAGTGCACACACTGGTAACCTCAAGGTTGGACTTCTTCAATGCACTTTACATTAGGCTACCTTTGTACCAAGTTCGGAAACTCCAGCTGGTTCAAAATACGACAGCCAGATTGGTTATGGGAACATCCAGGAGTGAGCACATCATCCCTATAGTTTCTGGGCGAAGTACAAAGTACTGATTTTAACCTTTAAAGCCCTACATGGTTTGGGTCCAGGTTACTTATAAGATTGCCATCTCCCATACAATCCACCTCACACACTTAGGTCCTCTGGGTTGTGTTTACTCCATCCAGACAGAAACGGACTAGCTACCATCAGAGGACCTTTTCATTGACTACCCCAAGTCTGTGGAATGACCTGCTGGAAGAGCTCCGACTGCTAAATGAGCTGTCAGAATTTAAAACACATCTGAAGACTGAAATCTTCTGCCAGACCTACCTAGTTAATTCTAACCATGATGTTGAAATCACATTCTATGTTGAATATGTATTAGCTTTTGTCTCAGGTACGTTTTAATATATGCTTTTATGGCTGCATTTAAACTATGTTTTGATATGTGATTTTGTACATGTATTTGACTGTGTTGTGCCTTGCCTCAGGTCGAAAGAAGAGATGGGTAATACATAAATAATAATAATAATAATAATAATCATCATCATCATCATCATCATCAATGCAGTTTGAAACCATTTTAACTGTCATGGCTCAATACTATGAAATCATGGGAGTTCCAGTTTTATAAGGTCTTTAGCCTTCTTTCACCAAACTACAACTCCCATGATTGGCACTGAGAAGAGTCTGGAAAGTTATTGAGGGAGTGGCAGGGATTCCCCACTTCCCAGCAGCATCAAACATGGTCTGGTGCTACTGGGAAGCCACCCTACATGTCCCCTCCTTGCTCCTGTGTCTCAGCACACAACACCTACCTTTTCCTTGTCACTTGTACTGACATCAGCCAGAGGGATGGGTGCTTCCTTTCACATGCTCCCCAGTGCTCTGCCTGACACCAGGGCAAGTGACAGGCAAAAAATAAGTGCTGTGCCATGGCCAGAGACAATTGTGAGACCGGGGAACGTGGGGTGGCAAATCAGGACAACTGCACATGGTTTTAGTTGGGAACTGGCCCAAGTGGGGGAAAGCCTGAATTCTGGGGCAGAATCTGGGCTTTCCCTGAATTTAGGTAATGCAGGTAAGCCTATGTTAAGGTGGCCTCGCTGCATGATACCATGGATCAGCCCTGAGTAACTGCTGTGAGGCTCAACCAAATCTATACCACCTTTGGTGGTCAGTGGTGATCAGCCAGGTTAAAAGCTTTCAGGCAGTAAATCTGTGGGGGAACATTTCCCGCATTATTAGCAACGCGCTGGACTAGGTTACTGGCAATTCTATGACCCTGAGTAAAACTGCTACAGATAAATCCTCTGACTTACTCACCTGGAACTGTGCAGAAATAATCAGGCTACTTTAAGAAAAATCACCAGCACTGAAAACTGGTAGTATCTGGTTTGGGCAGAAGTGAATCATTTAAACACCCGAACACACAGTCCTTGAATCCTCCGCACACAGAAAAGTAAAGATAAAAATCACACAGAGAAACAAGCACACACACACTCTCACACACCCTGGACATGTGAAAGGGCTTTTTTATGATATTGTTTTGATGGTAGATAAAGATTCTAGATTGATATTTTCTCTATAGATAATAAATGGAAATAGATTGTGAGCATGAAGCAAGATGAAATTCAGCCTAATGCACTCTGGGATAGATGTGTAGCTCTATTTCTTTTTTCACTTAATGACATTTCCATTTTTGTAGCCATGTTAAATACTTACGAAGCAGACGTTGAAAACATTGCATGACTAATGCAACCAAAGTGAAGGCCAACAAGGAACCCAGGAAATAAATCTGCAATGAATTCAGGGAACCGGTATTAGTTAAATGTAAATGTGTGAGGCATTTACTCAAAGGACAGTGGGGTCATACGCACCAGGCTAGAATGCCAAATATTGCAGAAAATCCTCAGGTGAAAATAAAGCAAAGCTAATGTGCAGGGGCTGATTGATTCTTGGTTGCTAAGACTGCAGCACCTATGGACAGTTGTAAAGAGACACACAAGTATATATATTTCAACATTGTATCAATCCAAGAGAGGGGCATTATTAATTGGAGTTTTGGGGGCAGGGAGAAAACATAACTCTCCAAATGTAAGGTGTCATAAATACTTTATTATCTATTTTTAAAGACCCAGATGAACATGAACAGGAGCTGGCTTACCTTTCATAAAGCTGTTGACGAAGGGCCGTATTACTAGTTTGGAGCGACCTGCTGATTTCTAAATGATCTAAAATGTCACTTGGGATGGAGTAACCTTCTTCAAGAAGGGTGGCCAAATTATAGAATCCCTGTAATAGATACATTCTTTAATTAAAATTAATAAATGTTTTAACAAAAAAATCACTTCCAGATTTAGACCAGAAATGGAAATGATATATTTCTCCAGATGCTGTTGGACGATTTATTTATTTATCATGTCAGGAGCAAACCAAAACAGTTGTATTGCATTAAAAAAAAAACAAAACACAAAGTTTGCAGGCTTGGTATTCTATTAAATGTCCTTTGACCAATGGAGGACCTTCTTGCAGATGTTGGACGATGGCTTCCACCAGTCTTAGCCATCTTAACCAATGGTGTTGAGAGTTGTACTCCAGCAACATCCAAAGGGCCACATGTTCCCTGCATTGGATTTACTCTTAAATGTGAAAACATAAATGTCTCTGCAATATTTTTGTTGACTACATATCCATTGGGGCCATGGTCATGCAGCAGGTTAAACCGCTGAGCTGCGAAACTTGTTGACCGAAATGTTGGTGGTTCAACTCCACAGAGCGGGGTGAGCTCCCGTAATTAACTCCAGCTTCTGCCAACCTAGCAGTTTGAAAACATGCAAATGTGAGTAGATCAATAGGTACCGCTTAGGTGGGAAGGTAACGGCGCTCCATGCAGTCAAGATGGTCACATGACCTTGGAGGTGTCTATGGACAACGCTGGTTCTTTGGATTTGAAATGGAGATGAGCACCACCGCTCAGAGTCCGACTCAACTAAATTTTATGTTAAGGAGAAACCTTTACCTTTAACATATCCATACTTGAAGAGATGGGAGACTGTGCTATCTCCACTATGTATGTGTTTGTCCCCGATGTGCAATATTCCACCCCTGAGACTTAGCATTACTTTTCTATTGCTTTACGGCAGGGGAGAAAAATTTCTTATTGGAATCATTACTATCTTGATTCAAACATGTCAGAGCTCCCACTCCAACAGCTGGCATGGCCCAACCAGGAGTGGAACCAGAACCTGCAGAAGGAGTTATAACGGGGACTTTTATTTTTGTTTCATGTACAAGAAGCACGTAAAAGAGGTAAATACACATCTCAAAAGTGAATGGGATGGGGCAGGAATATTTGCTCTGTAGGTAGATGCTAAAAATCTTGACCCTGTCCCTACGCACCAGGAATGCTTTTTGTTTACATAGCCATGACATTATTGGACAGCTTGGGTCTGTAAAACAGTCATGATTTACCGCACAGATCAGTTATTGTACAGCAAACAATTTACACAGCTACATAAATTAACCAATTGGGTTGCACTGGAATGTTGTGAAATTCGGTGGTGATAAAAAGTCCATGAACTCTAATGATAATTGTCTCAATACTATAGTATTACCATGATAGCATCAAAAACAGTCTTATTCTGAATATTGCTTCACAGTATCTGCTTCTCAAAACAGGCAACATAACTAATAACAGATAGCTGTCAGAAGGCAGGTGGATCATGACTGGAGAAAGGCTTACAGTCTTTTCCTCTCATATTATGGTCCCAAGCCACTTTATATATACAGATACACGGGAACTAAACAACGATTAAAGAAAAACACAGCAACTGTCACACTACTACAATAATGTTGAGAATAACTCCCATGAAGGAGAGGGCATACCTGTGTCCATGAACAGTTGTATTGAAGGTGAACAAGAAACCATTGGTGTAAGAGGTTACTAGATAGCTGCTTTACAAGTCTCTAAACCAGTGGTTCTCAACCTGGGGTCCCCAGATGTTTTTGGCCTTCAACTCCCAGAAATCCTAACAGCTAGTAAACTGGCTGGGATTTTGGGGGGTTGATTAGACAAGTAGCCTGTCCTTTCTGACCTATGGATTGTCTTGGCAAGATTTGTTCAAAGATGGTTTGCTATTGTCTTCCTCGGAGATCATGACTTGCCCAGTGGGGTTCCATGGCCAAGTGGGGGTGTGAATCCGACTCTCCAGAGTTGTAGTCCAATGCTCCAACTACTACACTGTGCTTCTATGAGAAACTAACATGGAAATGACAAATCTGGAGAATTATCCATCTTCGGCTCTTTTTAGTATTGATATAACAGAGACTTTCCAGAGTTTAGTGGCGAGTAAAAGAACTCAATCTCATTGTGATTAAATCGTTTTAATCCTGATGGAACATTACATTCTGTGTGTGCATCTAATGCTATATTGTGGCATACAATGAGAGGCTAGAGCCAGAAATGCATCAGCCCTGTTCATCCTTAAGGACATCAGCCTGTACATGATTCAGTCCAACGTTCTGAAGTTTTATGCCGTCCACTTTATTTAGATCCTACTTACTTGGGCATCTCCAAGTAATGCAGCTTGGGAATACATCTGTACTGACATATCCAGGTTTCTGGTCTGGTTCTGATATCCATAATAGTAGAAGTCTCCTACTTTAATATAAGCTATGGAAAGAAGCAAAGATTAATATTCAGTTCCTTCCACATTCAATAGACAATCTCTTTCATACTAAACTCAGTATGAAACCAAATTATGAAACCAAATCCAGCAATTACCAATCCAATTGTTTACCGCTTTTTATCAAGTTCTAGATTATTCAAAAACATAACTGACAGGGAATCATTTTGCATTATCAAAGATAGACATGCAGATTTACTTTTAACCCATGTGCATACATACCAAAGGTGGGAGCATTGCTTTGAAAGACTGAGAAATTGTAGTATCTCCAAACACAATCAGTAGCCAAGTATGTTTTTGCCAGATTCTGGAGAGAGTAAGAAAAAGGATGGCTTAGTGTGTTTTACAGACAAAGTATTTAATGATTGACACTGATAAAAGTATTCACCTGTGCCAGCTTGCTCTGACTTTTGAGGTCACCAAAATATACCAGGTGCATTTGCTCACCACTATAGGTGATTAGGATGTTGGGCATAAGGGGACAAGTCTGCTTGGTGGGGGCTTTGTCCTCTGGGGTTCTTCAAGTCCCTTTTAGCAAGCTTTTAGGAAAATATTGAACACCTACTTGTTTGCATTGGGCCTTTCTTACTCATAAAATCGATTTCCCATTTTATATGCATGGCCGATGGAATGGGCAGATTTCATACTCAAAGAGAGCTTTAAAAATATAATGTAAGTACAGCAAACAAAAAAGGTTCTGAAGAGATTTACTTACTGCTCGCTCCTCACAAAGGTGTGCCAGATTTGTTTGTGAAACTTCAATCCCAGTCTCTGCAGCAAGTATGTAATACAGCAGAGCTTGGTGCCTAAAATTGAAAAACAAACAAACAGTAGATCCAGAAAGGGGTAAGAAAAGCCAGAAGCCACTGTTGGTAAATGTGGTCAGGTTTTAGTTTGAACTTCAGAAGTGCTATCCAAGATGCTGTGCCGGTTTTTAGGATAGGATTGAGCACCTTGAATAATTCCTTTCAAGTTTTGACTGAAACCAGGAGAGGATTCACTGCTCCCCTATAGAAACCACTGACAGAAGCCTATCACGGGTTGTCAAGTGAGAACACTGGTAATATATGTCCCTGGAAATTATCTTGAATATCACTAGCACAGATTTCCCCTGAAATGGACACAATCCTTTCAGGGCATAATCTTCACTCAAGTGGATCAACAATGAAATCTGTTCAGGGGTATGTAGTGTAGACCCTCTCAAATAACCTTCAGGACAATTTCCAGCACACATGAATTTCTGGAAATAAGTCCCTGTACAAAGTAGTTCACAAAGGTATAAAGTAAGAAACACTGCTATGAAAACTTACAATACTAGGGGCAAAAATAGACAACACAAGAGCAGAGCCAAACTGAGGCGGTGAAAAATGTATACAAAGCTTTGAGTCTCCTTCGGGAGAAATAAAGTGGGGTATAAAGGAGGAGGAGGAGGAAACATTATAGCATATTTACATATATGCCTCAAAGGTCATTTTTAATCAGTGGATATTATACTTTACTCTTGTTGCCTTGTTCACATGGAAATATATTGATTTATACAGTTGTTCCAGGAGGGAAAGCAGGGCTGGAATAAAGAGTCACCTCTCCCTTCCCAAGAGCTCAAGTTTTCCTTTAGATGGTCTTACTCTATCCTATTCCTATTCCAAATTCATTTGATTGAGATAACATGTCTAGTTAGGTTTATGAGGTTAGTGTTTGGAGATAGGATTATCGTGTAAGATACAGATGGTGTTATATGTATCTCTTCTTTTAAAATCAATCTTTTAAAAATGGTAAACAGCAGCTACGGCAGCAACCCCAGAATTGAAGCCATAGTTGGGAAACAAGTGCATTAAAAAATCTTTTCTCTGTGCCAAAGTCTGCAACTCCTGACCAAGTTGCTCCTAGATCTAGGATGGAAGCTTCCATCAGAGGTTTTCTTTAACACCAATTAGTTTATGGATTTTAGTTCCCAGGGCTCTAAGAGAAAGACAAACCAGATCTCCAAAGCAATAGCTACACCTACTGGTCAGATTCTAAATGGAAGATCTACTAATTACATTGGGTGATCATGACAGCTCTGATTGGTGGGCAGGTACACAAGTTTTTTTAATCAGTGCAGAGTTTTGGACTCTTAAGTACATTGATACAGATCATGTAAGCTATACTTACTGAAAATATTTCTATGGTTATATCTAGCTGCAAGGATACATTTTATAAAGAAATGATGGTTTGGGGAAAGATAAATTTTGATCTGATGGTGTCATCTGGTGCAATCTGCACAGCCTGCAATCTCCTAGTGATGCCACTGCTGATGAACATCTCATCTACTTTGATTTGAATTCCTTGGTCAATCTATTGCACATTTCATTGTGTGTTTGTGGGTGTGGAGAGGGGTGGTGGTGATTGAGAGATGATACATAAATATTTTTAAATGTATTTCAATTTTATATAAATAAAACAATAAAATACTGGCTGATGGTTTCTAATAAACAAAAAGTTACATTTTGGCACTAACATAGTTAGCAACTGAATTAATTCTTCTAATTTAGGCATTATTCAAAGGCCATGCCACATTATAAAATATAGAATGTATATTTTGTTTCCTATTTCTTTTACTCTCATCTGACAAGAGGGAGACAGTGGGAAAGCTCACAATTAGTCACTGTTTTACAATGAAATATATCATACAGATTTAAAAACCAACTTTCAAAAAAGAACAGGAGCACCAAACCTACCAGGATAAGTCTAGATAAGCATTGAGTGCTTTTCGGATGACATGACCTAAATAGCCGTTCTTTTCTGCCACAAATTTTGCCCAGCTGTAAATGAAAACAGTAGCATTAAAATTAAAACACTGCACACACACACACTGAACGCCTAAACAGGAGCACATAAGAGGATGTCCTTCCCAGCATGTTGTGCCTCTCACCTGCTCTACACTCTAACTCAGGGGTAGGGATCATGTCCTGGTAAGTCCCCTAAGACACCCACATGGTCCTTTTTCTGAAAGGAACATCTTAGTGGGAATTATGTTTTTGGAATTTGTTTGGAGCACGGTTCTCCTACCCACCCATCTGACATCTTTATTTTCGTCCAGACTTACATTTTCAGGGAAATAGATCCAACCATCTGGTCATGTCTGGTCAAATTACAGGTACTTATTTATCGTATCAGGAGTGAACCAAGGTACAGTTGTAATGTATTTAAAAAAAACACAAAGTTTAAAAGCTTGACATTATAGTAAATGTCCTTTGACCAGTAGCTGGCCACTTGGAGTGCCTTTGGTGTTGCTATAAGAAAGTCCTGCATTGCGCATGTGGTAGACTGCATTGTAATAGGTCATCTGTGGTTTGCTCTTCCCCACACTCGCATATAGTGGATCCATTTCTTAAGGTTGGCTTTGCATCTCGTAGTGCCAGAGCACAGTCTGTTCAGTGCCTTCCAAATTGCCCAGTCTTCTGTGTCCAGAAGTGACCAAAATTTACAGGTAAGGACTGCAATTTGGTGGCACAAAGGCCCATCTATGATTGTTCACCCCTGTTGTGCCTTGCCACTAATCTTTGCAAGAGTTCACGCTCAAGAAATATGCAGTGAATAACCTTTGCCTCCTTTGTGTGCCTCAAAGAAGGTGAGAGCTGGGCACTTCACTGCAGCTGCCAGTTTGCATAGGAATTTTGCGGGTGCCTTTCCTTCTCTCCCTGCCTCTATCTCAGTATGAAAGAAGATGAAATGGATGAATGTTGTAGAGGAGATGTTATTCGAGTTATATTCATTGCATAATAATCTTCCCTTTGAAATTAGATTCTTTTGTTACTCAGAGCTTTTTACTTTACTTACAGCACTGCCTTCTCTGGATCTCTGGGAAAGCTTGCTAAATTTCCAGTAATATAATACTGAGAGCACCGCAATGTTCCTTCCATGTGACCTCCTTCTGCCGCTTTATAGAAATAGTCAGCAGCCACAGTCTGTTTAAAACAATGATAGAAATGTATATATATATTTGCTTGCTTACTTTTCCACTATTTTAATAGCGTGTACATATTGCAAAACTATGTCTTCAAGCATTCCAAGAAAAGTGTTCCACTAGAATTATCACAGTTACTACAACTGAATATTAACAACTGAAACTACCAGGTCATCATTATACATGTCAGAAGTCAGGTACAAAAATATCATCAGCAGTAAGATAAATTATTTGGGACACATGCCCAGAATATTGATTTACTTGAAGGTGGAAACCAGGAACAGACAAGAGAACCAAAAGTGGATTTTTCTGGATGATAAATTTTGGTTAAACAGATTATGAAGTAAAAAGCTTACAAAAGCCACTTTGATCAGATGTCAATTAATGTATTCACTACACTCAGTGACTGCTCCTTCATACCACCTTCAGTTGTCTGAAATGTTATAGTTTGTCTTTGGCTATAATACACTTTTCAGTATTGGATTACTGTAGAGAAAAGGGGATCAAAATGGGTATCCGGCTTAGTAGGCTGCCAAATTTTGGTCCTTCAAATATTTTGGACTTCAGCTCCCAAACAGTTGAGAATTCTGGGAGCTAAAGTCCCAAACATCTGGAAAACACTGTCCTGGTTAGAATAAGCTCAACAAGATAACTTACGGTGGTTCCCAATCTTTGGGCCTCCAGGTGTTTTAGACTTCAACTCTCAGAAATCCCAGCCAGCTTACCAGCTGTTAGGAACGGTGGGAAATACCTGGAGGCCTAAAGTCCAAAACACCTGGAGGCCTAAAGGTTGGGAACCACTGCTACAAAATCTGAATGCCAAAATTGGTATAGCGCCTTTTGTGTTTTGTGTTTCCGGGATTTTCTACTCGAAACAGAAGTGATGGTGTATATGAATATTAGGGTTGGATAGGTTCGTTTGGATGTGGCGTAATTCGGGGAAAAAATTGGATATTTTTGGCTTCCGAAGGGACTTCTGCCACATTTCCGTGAGGCTGTAGTCCCTTATAGTTTTGACTCGCTTTGCGCAGTTGTTTTCAGGGATGCGGAAGTGAGTTGGAACTATGATGAAGCATTTTTAATGCAACTAAGCCTGCTGGGAGGCAAAGGGTTTGGAGCCAGAGGAAAGGAGGTTTGGATAACAGTGAAGGCAAGGGAAAAGGGAAGATTTTGAGAGAGGAAGGGTTTGAAGCCAGAGAAGAGAGAGAAAGAAGGAAAAGTTTGTTTGGGAGGCAGGGAGAGGGTGAAATTAATATAGTCATCTTTGGAAACTTATTTTTTTCTCACCACTAAAGCTTTGCTATTTTTATTGGGGTCTCTCCCTTTTTTCTGGCGTGTGTTTTGGGGACTTGATGCTACATTTCCCAAATTTGCTGTACCTCGGCTGCACAAACGGTGACTTCCAACAGTATGAATGTGTCTGAAAGTTGGGGAGAGTGATCCTTCATAACCTTTTGTAATTTCCTTAAAAATTCAAGGAGGTAGCTCTTTTATTTTAATTTTAATAAATTATTTCTAAAAATGATTTTAAAAATTCTTTAAAATTGGTGGAGTGTCTAAACATGTTGAAATTAGGTGTGTTAATAGAGGAGGATATGTTGTAGCAGTATACCAAGTTCCATCAAGATTGGTGTAAAAATGAGGGAAGGAGAAGGTCCTGGAGTTTCCGCAGTGCCAGTGCTGTTATCTATATATTGTGCAATCGTGTCCACCATTAACGAAATAATTCAGAAGTTTCGAAAAGTTCTGACTTTTTTCGAAAAAATTCGGAAGTAACCTTAGAATTGAGCCACCAGCGCCCCCTACATCCGAAATGAGTTTTGAACCTTTTTTTTAATCAACCAAGTCTAATGTATATACGTGTCTTCAAATTGGGAGTTTCAATGCTGCAAAATCCTTTTGGTTCCATTGTGTCTTTGTTTGATTTTGTGATTTTAATATCAGACTTTTTTGTTTTTAGCTTTGTGTTGCAGATTGTGCTCATATTGTGATTTGCTTGGGGGCAAGGAAACAGCTGAATTATTTTATACTTGTACACAAATAATTTATATACTCACATAATTTCGACCAGTCTGTCCTGGATAAATTCCATCTAAATACAGGACACCCAGATTGAAAGATGCTTCAGGGCTGCCCATTGCTTCAGCTTTTAACCAGTATTTGGCTGCTTTTGCATAGTCTCTTCGAAAATTATGATAATACCAGCCCAGGCCATTTACCGCTTGAGGTAGTCCCTATAGATAAAAAAAAATCAAGAGGATTGTTTTAAATAATAATAATAATAATAATAATAATAATAATAATAATAAATTAGTTTTCTGCCCTATCTTCCCAAGGGGACTCAGAGTGGATTGCAGTATACACAAATACCAACACAGGCAAGCATACAATGCTTTGATACAATTAACAGAAATTAACTAACAAACACAAAGGCAAAGGCTTCCCTTTCATCTCTGGCTTCTGGAGGTGGGGCTCAACTTCTGGTTCTGAGGGAAGTGTTCATCTCCATTTCCAAGTCAATGACCCTGTATTGTCCACAGACACCTCCTGGCCATGTGGCCGGCATGACTGCTCAGAGTACTTGCTTACTTTCCCGCTGAGGTTGTACCTATTGATCTACTAGGTTGGCAGGAGCTGGGGCTAACAGCGGGAGATCACTGCCAGCCTTCAGGTCAGCAAGTTCAGCAGCTCAGTGGTTTAACCCATTGCGCCACCCGCAATTACTCCAGTTGTGGAGAATTTTCAGTCACTATTCTCCTTGGCTGGATGAACCAACACCTTGTAGAGACAATAATAATGTGTACAAGCCATGCCAATCCCCACAGTTAAAACTCTAAGACATTTCTCACACTTCACACAGAATTCTGGAGTATCTCAGAGGACATGATGCATTCATCTGGAAACTGGGTTGTTGTAGGTTTTTTCAGGCTATGTGGCCATGTTCTAGAGGCATTCTCTCCTGACGTTTCACCTGCATCTATGGCAAGCATCGTCAGAGGTAGTGAGGTCTTACTACCTCTGAGGATGCTTGCCATAGATGCAGGTGAAACGTCAGGAGAGAATGCCTCTAGAACATGGCTATATAACCTGAAAAAACCTACCACAGCCCAGTGATTCCGGCCATGAAAGCCTTCGGCAATACATCTGGAAACTGTTATAGAAAGCTCACATGAATGGTTACTCCTGTGAAAACCCTTTGCCTTGACATTCTAGCTTTCCATGGCTGGCATCCTGTTCATGGCATGCACAGAAAAAGTTAACCTATGTACGCCTATTTTTGCTCACTAAAGGGGTTGGTATTCCAATTCTGCTTCCACAGTGCCAAAGACACACATATACAGTACCAGCATACCACAGAATCACTAGAGACCCCCTTTTCCACAAAGCCATTCCATACCTGATGGAGAACAAGGGAATGCCCAATGGCTACAGCCTCTCCTAGCTTATCCATTCTTCCTCATTACTAACCTTTCTTATCTTAATCACACTCTGATGTTGGGCCAGATGTGGTCCAGTTTACACCTTTGAAATGTGATAGGCATGATTATGCCGAGTTTGGCTGACCATTCCCTTCATCCAGTAAAAGAGGATAGGAAAGCTGAATTGCTCCAGTCACAACACTCTGTGTTGACTTTTTGATAGACGTTACCTTCGACGCTGCTTTTTTCATCAGTTGTAGAGCATGTCTTTTGTTCTTTTTCACACCTTGACCCTAAAGCAATGACAAAAGTCAGTTTCAAGGATATGCAAAATGTTTCTAATTTCCTCTTTATTCAAAAGTGACATTGCTTCCTCGGGACCATTTTTTGAAAATGGAGTTGGTTTTTACAAATGGTTGTTTGGTGTCTTGGCATAAATGAGTTTCATAGCCTATTCAAGTGCTGACTGATTTGTTACCGCCATAAATTTGCTATTGTCTATTGCATTGAACCTGTGGGTCCCCAGATGTTTTGGCCTTTAACTCCCAGAAATCCTAACAGCTGGTAAACTGGCTGGGATTTCTGGGAGTTGTAGGCCAAAACACGTGGGTGACCACAGGTTGAGAACCACTGGACTCTATCGCATGTCTATCTACATTACGTAAAGTTTCTTTCTCTCACTGTACAAATCATTTTTCCTTATAGAACAAGCCACCTTGTACAGCAAATCAGTTTCTCCCTTATGAGAACTTTTTAAAAGCTTGCTACTTTAGCAAGGACACCTGAATACATACACAATTTTGGAGGGAAATAAGAAGGACAGGGGTTCTACTAGCTTTCATCTACTACAGTGGTTCTCAATCTGTGGGTCCCCAGGTGTTTTGGCCTACAACTCCAAGAAATCCCAGCCAGTTTACCAGCTGTTAGGATTTCTGGGTGTTGAAGGCCAAAATATCTAGGGACCCACAGGTTGACAACCACTGATCTACCAGCTTTCATCTCTCAAATACCTTGTTGTTATTATGTGCCTTTAACTCACATAAGTAGTTATTATGTGCCTTTAACTCACTTTGGAGCCACTTTGGAGCTAGTTACATATATTATTGTTTACAAATATTCTACTTCCATGTTACCATTGATACCATTTTTGCTGCTATCGATAATTTTTCAAATACTTTTCCCTTCCATTATTACACAAGTGCACTTTATCACCTTCAATACACTGGAAGGAGTAGGTAACATTAAGGGGTGGGAACATCAGGACCCAACTGTATGTAACTATACTCGGCACCAAGCAATAGTACATGGAACAACAACAGATGGAAATGGAGGGTATGTCCCCGGGGGGGGGGGGGGTATGGGTGGGGGTGCCACCATAAGGGTGGTGACAGGCAGAGGGAGATACGGGAAAGGGAGATCAAAATACTCAGTTCGGCCCAAAATTTATAATAATAGATTGGCAATCCTAAAAGATGTTAACAACTCAAGGAAAAATCAAATCAGGCCCAAAATTTACAGCAGAACATTGGCAGTCCCAAAAATCAATACTACAATTCGGCCTGAAATTAACACAGATAAATTGGCACTTTTAAAACATCCTCCCGACAAGATACAACTGAGGTGCCAGGATGGTGGTCCCTCCAGGTTAAAGGTGGTGCTGTTCAACGCCAGGTCGGTAAACGGAAAAACCTCTATTATTAAAGATCTAATTTAAGAAGAACAAGCTGACTTGGCTTGTATAACGGAGACCTGGTTGGACGAAGGGGGGGGTTAATCTCACTCAACTCTGTCCACCGGGTTACTCTGTGCAGCACCAACCAAGACTTGGAGGGCGGGGAGGCGGAGTCGCAGTTGTCTATAAGGATTTTATCCCCCTGATCAGGCGTCCCATCCCACAGTCATCTGCATTTGAATGTGCCGGCTTTAGGATAGGTGACCGGGACAGGATAGGGATTCTGTTAGTGTACCGACCACCCCGCTGCACTACAGTCTCCTTACCTGAGCTAGCAGGAGTGGTCTCGGACATGGCGTTGAGCTCCCAACGGCTTTTAGTCCTGGGAGATTTCAATGTCCATGCCGAGGCCTCTCTCTCCGGTGCGGCTCAGGACTTCATGGCCGCCATGGCAACCATGGGCCTGTCCCAATTAATATCTGGTCCCACCCATAGTGCCGGGCACACATTGGATTTGGTATTTTCTCAAGGATGGGATGGGGGTGACGGGGTGGAGGAGCTGACCATCGCTCCATTGCCATGGACCGATCACCACCTGATCAGGTTTAGACTAACTGCGCCTCCCAACCTCGCAGGGGTGGTGGACCCATTAGAATGGTCCGCCCCAGGAGGCTTATGGATCCAAATGGCTTCCTGATGGCTCTTGGGGATTCTCCCACCTCCTTGGCCAGTGATTCTGTCGATGTCCTGGTCTCTCACTGGAACAGTGAGTTGACCAGGGCCATTGATACAATCGCTCCGGAACGCCCCCTCTCGAACAGCAGAGCTAAACCAGCTCCTTGGTTTACTAAGGAGCTGGCAGCGATGAAGCGAGAGAAGAGGAGGCTAGAGTGCGTGTGGCGCCGGAACCCCACCAATCCAGCTCAAACACTTCTGAATACCTTTTTAAGGTCCTACGAGGTGGCAATAGCGGCGGCACAGAAAACGTTTCTGGCAGCCAATATTGCATCTGCGAAGAATCGTCCAGCGGAGCTCTTCCGAGTTGTCAGGGGTCTGTTACATCCGCCAAAAAGCGAGGCCTCAGACAACTCGGTGGCTCGCTGTGAAGCATTTGCTCGATTCTTCGCGGATAAAATTGAGCGGATTCGGTCAGGTTTTGACGTCATGTTAACGGCAGTCTCTGGGGATGTGACGAGAGCATCTGCTTGTCCGGTTTTGTTGGATTCGTTTCAATTGGTTCAGCTTGAGGATGTGGACAGGATCCTTGGAGGGAGGTGCGACCCACCACATGCATCCTAGACCCCTGTCCATCCTGGCTGATTAAGGAAGCCAGAGGGGGTTTGGCAGAGTGGGTGAAAGTGATGGTTAACGCCTCCTTACAGGAAGGAAAATTTCCAGCGAGCTTAAAACAAGCTGTTATAAAACCGCTGTTGAAGAAACCATCACTGGACCCCACTCAATTTGACAACTTTCGGCCAGTTTCCAATCTCCCCTATTTGGGCAAAGTCATGGAACGTGTGGTGGCGACTCAACTCCAGGGGTTTCTGGTAGACACTGATTATCTAGATCCGGCACAGTCTGGCTTTAGGCCGGGACATGGTACTGAGACAGCTTTGGTCGCCTTGGTAGATGATCTTCACCGGGAAATGGACAGGGGGAGTGTGTCCCTGTTGGTTTTGCTGGATCTCTCAGCGGCCTTCGATACCGTCGATCACGGTATCCTTCTGGGGCGCCTCAAGGATATGGGGCTCGGGGGCACTGCCTTGCAGTGGCTCCGAGCCTTTCTTGGGGGACGGTCCCAGAAGGATACCGTCGATCACGGTATCCTTCTGGGGCGCCTCATGGATATGGGGCTCGGGGGCACTGCTTTGCAGTGGCTCCGATCCTTTCTTGAGGGACGGTCCCAGAAGGTGTTTTTGGGTGACACCTGTTCGGCCCCACAACCGTTGTTGTGTGGAGTCCCACAGGGTTCAATCCTGTCCCCGATGTTGTTTAACATCTACATGAAGCCACTGGGGGAGATCATTCGGAGTTTCGGAATGAGATGTTATCTCTATGCAGATGATGTCCAAATCTGTCACTCCTTCCCGCCTTTCACCAAGGAGGCTGTCCAGGCCTTGAATCGGTGCTTGGCTGCTGTGTCGGACTGGATGAGAGCTAACAAATTGAAATTGAATCCAGACAAGACAGAGGTCCTACTGGTCAGTCGTAAGGCCGAACAGGGCATAGGGTTACAGCCTGTGTTAGACGGGGTTACATTCCCCCTGAAGACGCAGGTTCGCAGCTTGGGAGTGATCCTGGACTCATCGCTGAGCCTGGAACCCCAGGTCTCGGCGGTGGCCGGGAGAGCTTTTGCACAATTAAAACTTGTGCGCCAGCTGCGCCCGTACCTTGGGAAGTCGGATCTGGCCACGGTGGTCCACGCTCTTGTTACATCCCGGTTAGATTACTGCAACGCACTCTACGTGGGGTTGCCTTTGAAGACTGCTCGGAAACTCCAACTAGTCCAGCGAGAGGCAGCCAGATTGCTCACCAGAGCGGCATACAGGGAGCATACCACCCCCCTGTTATGTCAGCTCCACTGGCTGCCATCCAGTTCCGAGCACAATTCAAGGTGCTGGTTTTGACCTATAAAACCCTATACGGTTCCGGCCCAGTGTATCTGTCCGAACGGATCTCCCTCTATGTCCCACCCCGGAGCCTAAGATCTTCTGGAGAGGTCCTGCTCTCGACCCCGCCTCTATCACAGGTGAGATTGGCGGGGACGAGAAGCAGGGCCTTTTTGGTGGTGGCCCCCCACCTGTGGAATTCACTCCCCGGGGAAATTAGATCTGCAACATCGCTCCTTTCTTTTAGGAAAAAACTAAAAACATGGATCTGGGACCAGGCATTTGGGCAGGCGGGCAAATAAAGAAAGAACTTTATTGATGGCTAGGAAATGACTAACGGACTGGACATGAGGAACTCTGGAAACGAAACGCTGATTATAAGAATGATCTTGATGATATTTTATATAATGTGTTATGCACCGGTTGTTGATGTTTTAACTGTGTTGATCGTTTAATTACATTTTGTATATTGTTTTTATATTTTTGTATACTATGTATTACTATGTATAGGCATCGAATTCTGCCTTCTTTGTAAGCCGCCCTGAGTCCCCCTCCGGGGGTTGAGAAGGGCGGGGTAAAAGTACCAGAAATAAATAAATAAATAAATAAATAAATAAATAATGAATAAGTAGGGTAGGAAAAAATCACTGTCCCAAGCTCCTTGGGTGAGTGGGGATTCAAACCTCTACGCCACATTTACTCTGTACCAAATGCGTAGCAGATTACTATTTTAAATGGCAAGCCAATGCACTTTAAAAACTAACACAAATACAACCATATCATGCAAGTTTGTGTACGTTTCCATATAAGAAAACTCCACTAACTTAAATGAGAGTCATTTTTATGGAAATCTACAAAATTGGGACATTATTTTGTTTCAAAATACATCTGCAAGGGATTACTGAATTGGAAAGACAGATCAGCTGCTCATGGAGAATCTGAGCAACAACTCAACAATCTTAGACAATGAAAATACACTATATTTTTAAAAGTTATCTTACCTTGAATAAAACAATGGAATAATCATATAGGGAAGTTGGGTCTCCTGTTTCCAAGGCACCCTTTGCATACCATTCTACAGCTGCTTTGTGATTTTTCCCAACTCCTTGCTGTCCCCAAAAGAGCATTTGTCCTAAACGTTGCTAAAACAAAGGGAAAAAGTAAATAAACCTCAAATGTGAAATGTAAAGGTCAGTTACAGCTGTCCCAACAAAAGCATATGCATGTTTTAATGGGGTCATGAGAAGTCCTCCAAGTCAATGCAACTTGTGGACTTCTGCCTATCCACAATCCATTATTTGCCAATCCACTGCAGAGAAGATATAACCAATGGGCACAAATACAATACTGTCCCATTAGAGGGAAAAAAAATCCTCACTTGGAACATCAGATAGATAACCTGAGAAACAATGCTCTAAGTAGCTATGAGGACTGTCTGCCAGTGTAGATCCAACCACTTCTTGCTATAGATGTGAATTTGAATCTTTTTCTGCCTGCCTTGAAACACATAGTAAGAATACAAACTCCCAGTTACTGCCTTGGATTATGGACTTATCTGAATGAACAACAACCCCTCCCCCCCCCAAAAAAAACCCCCAAACAAACCCTGGACTAACTTTAAATCCAGAGCTAGTTATATAAACAATGCACGACGACATCCAGTGAATATGTCATTTTTTCTACCCTTAGCCCAACTTGGATCAGCTTTAGGAAAAGTCAGAGGATACTCTGGAGTTTGCAGGAAACTTGGACGTATCTTGGGGCTTTGTGGCTATGTGGACAGCTGGATCAGATCTATTTTGGTTCAACAAATTGTCTAGATGGACACTGCTGCCATTACCTCTTATCTGCAAACACCTGTCCATTGTCTGGCATATCTCAAATTCAGTCCAGATGACAAATAAAAACTCTACCTCATTCTTGCTAATCGCATTATCATTTCACCAGATGTGACAGCCTGGCACTTTCAGGGAGCTGTGTGGCTGGCAAGAAGAAATGCTGGCAACATGGGGACAAGACAACATGGAAATGAATTGGACCATCTGAACACTGGCCCGATTCAGCAGGTACATGCTGAACTTGGGGCAGAAATACTTCAGAGTAACCTGCTTTTTGTAGTTGCTGCCTAAGTGATATTTGTGGATGGTATCTAGATCAACTATGCAGTAGACACACTTTCCTTGTTGACTTAGAAATACATTTCAATGAGTTCAACAGGACTTACTTCCTGGCAAGTATAAATGCGGTAACTGGGATGGGCAATACATAGGCTGTTATGTCAGAGGTGGGCCCTGTTCATTTTTACTGCCTCCGTTAGTGCTATATTTGGCAATATACTAGTAGCAATTCTCTTCCAACATTTTTCTTCATCTTCCCATTTTTTCTTCATCTTGCTTTATGGGTATGCTCATTTAAGTGTGATATACCATAAAAAGGTATGTGTTCCCTGCATGCCTTGGTTTAAAGAAGAGAATTGCTTGTGTCCTCCTAGCAATTCTAGAGTGTCTACAAGACTCACCAAAGATGTCTATCCCTGATGTGTATAAATGTGACTTGAATATTCTTTCAAGAAGCAGTCACATAATAAGATAGCTGAATAAAATCCCATATTTTCTGCTTTGAACTGAAATATATGGCAGTGTGGACTAAGATAACCCAGTTCAAAGCAGATATTGTGGAATTTTCTGCCTTGATATTTTAGGTTATGTGACTGTGTGGAAGGGCCCTAATCAAATTGACTATCACTGCCTTAAATTGAGACCCCATCAACACTCCATATAATGCAGTTTCATAATGCAGTTTATCTGCATTGAATTACATTATATGAGTCCACACTCCCATATAATGCTGTTCAATGCAGTTATATTAGACTATGAAAGTGAATTATATGGAAGTGTAAATAGGGCCTGAGTCATATTACTGTTCCATTTAGCATGCCTACTATTACGTTTTATTGTGTTGTAAGCTTTCCAGGATCCGATTTTCCAAAACACTTGAACCAGCCAATTGGGAACAGGTTGGTTTTGACAAAGGGCTCTTCCACACAGCCATATAACCCAGAATATCAAGGCAGATAATTCACAATATCTGCTTTGAACTAGGTTATCTGAGTCCACACTGCCATATAATCCAATTCAATGTGGATTTTATACAGCTGTGTGGAAGGGACCTAAGTTAAAGGAAGACTTTTTTAGTTCAGGCCCAGAACAGCAACACTGAAGGCTGAAATGTACTGATGTTCTGTGCTACCTGTGCAGCTCCATCTCCTCTTTTAGCTTCATGTTTCAGCCACATGAAGAGATCGCCACTTTCTCTGGTTTGAGCTTTCAGTAATTCATCATCCTGTAGCCTTACTGGTTCTACGAATGCCTAAAACAAAAGGAATAAAACATTAAAATTGGAAAACCACAAAATGCTTAGATTTTTGCTAACCATTTTTATGTTCCATACTAGTGGTCAACAGTTTCTTTTGTTTGCTTTTGGCTCTATGCTAAGTTGATCAATGGGGAATAGTTAGCTGATACAGAATGATGCTGCACATGGAAAGCCCACTTATTTCTTGATATTACCTGTTAAGGGAGCAATTGTGAATAGGTATCCTCATTTGACATCTACTTTGGCCACTCAATCTGGAGCCATATTGAGTAATATCAAAACCCACAATTTTAGCCCCCAAACCTGCCATGGACTTATGCATGAGGTTGACTTATACGTATAAGAGTATACACAGTACTTAAAAATAATTTTGAAATATAATTCTGGGAACAGTTTTCTTTTACCTGGTCTCCTTCTGCAGTGTTTTGATCATGAGGCGTCTTGACAGCAACATCACTATAGTATGCATAGGACAAGTCCAGATCTCGAGGGTAATCATTAATGCCTTGGTAATGCTTATATCCAAGGTTCATTAGGGCCAGTCTGTCGCCCCCTTGAGCTGCAACCAAACTGTACAGCAGTCCCTGGAAATTATTAATACATTGGGATGTAAGCTTAAAAACAGCCAATGACATCTGGCATTCGAAAACACAGAGAGAATATCAACATATTGTCGAAGGCTTTCAACATGTTGCAATCAACATGTTGCAGATGCTTATTTATTTATTTAAGCATTAAATAAGTTGTGCATAAATCCTGCGTGGATTAGTGACGGAAGTCAAGGTGGTGGGTAGCACTGGGGGTGGGTGGAGGGGTAACTGTATGGAGGGTTGTTTGTGTATGTGTGTTTGTTTGTGTGGGTGTATATTTTTGTAACATATATGGTTGGTGTATTATTTTTTCGAAATAAAATTTAAATTAAAAAAAAACATGTTGCAGATGCTACAGTAGGTCAATCAGACAACAGGAAAACAGGCAACCATTTGTTCTTCTTTTCGTTTCTGTGTGGTCATTTGCATGCCCCCTAAAACTGGAACACATGTAAACAAGCAATATTAGCAGGCCTGTAGCCAGGTGGGTTTAGGGTTTAACCACCCCCACCCAAAATGTCTCATTAATTTTAACTGGTTAACTAATTCATGAGTAAACCAGGTTTTTTAAAACACTACATTTGCCCCATGGAGTCTGCCGGCTCCCATCCCATGACAGAGCTACCTCCAGAAGGGCTCCATGGCACAAATGGAGAGAAACCGGCATATGCTGCCGTGGCGGCAACGCAGGAGGCTCCCTTTGTCGCATAGGGATCAATGGGGGGAAGCCAGGCAGTGGGCGCTTCCAGTCATGGGATGAAGTTTGGGGTAAGTTGGGCAATGCAGAGTATGGGATGACAGGTTCGAAATATCCCCTGCCAGGCACAATCTGTGGCAATTCTGTCGGATAATGTGATAAGGCCACCAATCAAGCAATCCTTGGTCAAAAGGGAAACATCAACATATTTACCTGAAGTGGATCTGTAGCCACACCTAGTCCTATTTCAAAGATAACACCGAGAACATAGGAAGCTCTGTGATATCCCAAACAGCTGGAATCCAACAAGGATTGGAGAGAAGAGTTTATATAATGTAGACCATCATCCTTGGATAGATTTTGAAGAGTTGCCATAAATAACTTGCGCCCAGATATAGCTGATGATTAAATGAAGTTCTGATTAGACAGTTTCAGTTTCCGGACAGCCTTAATGCTGAAAACGCTTAGGGTCTATTCTTATGTACTGTAATGATGTAAACAGTGTTTTTATATAGTTGACTCTCATGTCACGTTGGTAATACATTAAAGTGAACAAATGAGGTTTGGGCATATTATATTTATTTCAGAGGTGTAGGAAGTTCTTGAAAGAATATTTTTAAATCTGTCCAATTAAGAATGTATGAAAAGCCTGACTGGTTTGGACTGAAGACCTATCGAGGTAAGCATTTTGTCCTTAAACTGGCCACTCTGATGACTATGGGTTGTCCACAAGAGGGAAATGAGCTCAACAACACCCTTCCCTTTGTGTTCCAGAACAACTGGTTTTCAATGGCAGACTACCCTGAAATTGAAGATAGCCCTCCTGATCGCCCTCAATCCTTTTGGATTTTAAGTAACTATGCATCAAAACTGAAAATGTGCACAGGCAAGATAGTGGCCACACCATCCACAGTTTAAGTATGTACGTTGTGAAGAAACACATTACCTTCAGGCAACAGTCCAGATATGCTGTGGTGTTTTCCTATTAGTTCTTTGCCCCAGCTGAACTCAGCACACTTGGGATCCCCTCCATATTTGTTTTTCATTTCCAAATAATAGTTGTCACGAATACCTGAAGAAAATGAAACTGAATCACTCTGCTTGTCAACAAGAAAATCACTTCATGGTCATTTCCTTCTGGTTTAAGATGGTGTTGAACTAGGTTAGTTTTGGAGTCCTTGACACTTTGGGCATAACTACACTAGAGATTGGGTCCACATTGTCATATTTTGAACTGAATAATATGGTCAATGTAGACCAGGGGTTCTCAAACTTTTTAAACAGAGGGCCAGGTCACAGTCCCTCAAACTGTTGGAGGGCCGGATTATAATTTGAAAAAAAAAAAAAGAAGAATGAATTCCTATGCACACTGCACATATATTTGTAGTGCAAAAAACACTTACAATAATTAAAATGAATTAAATGAATAAATTTAAGAAATATAAACTTATTAGTATTTCAATGGGAAGTGTGGGTCTGCTTTTGGCTGATGAGGTAAGATTGTTGTTGTTGTTGTTGTTGTTGTGTGCTTTCAAGTCATTTCAGACTTAGGTTGACCCTGAGCGAGGGCCGGGTAAATGACCTTGGAGGGCCATATCTGTTGCGGTTTGTTAGTTTATATTGAATCTACGCAGCAGTCCTCCCAACTCCAGATCCCAAGTTGATTTGCACAGAGTATAAAAAGAAAAATACAGTAGCCTTGAAAACACATTGTCCATCATTGTCCATTGCAGAAGAAAAAAACATTTACAAAATAATGCATTGATCTGCTTCTTTCCAGCAAACCTTGTAGCATAGTTCCATCTCTAATTACTTCATTTCACCCACTACCTGCATCAAGAAAACCTCACCTGATATACATCCTAATCAGGGAGTGGTTCTTCCTCAACACACACATATAAGCAAGAGGTGATTCTTGTCAAGACTTACAAAATCATATACTGTAACACTCCTCCTTGTGTGTAGAGGAAAACACAATACATAATACAATTACATGGTACACTCAAAAATTCCCAAATCATTCAAAACATTCTGATGTTTCTGTACACTCAGTGGCTTAGTTAGTACATCAGCTAGATTTAGATTTGTATTACAATATACTATATCAATTTCACCATTTTTCACTGCATCCCTTACACAACTGTACTTAATATCTACATGCTTGCTTCTTTGTTTTACTCTGGCCTGTGTTGCCATTGTGATGCATGTCTGATTATCCTCATATATTGTTGTTGGATCTTCAACAGGTATTTGCAAGTCTTTAAGCAGTTGTTTGATTACACAAATCTCTGTATATGCTAAGCTAAGTGCACCAAACTCAGCCTCACTGGAACTTAAAGCTACATAACTCTGCTTCTTTGACTTCCAGTCAATTACAGCATTAGAAAACTTAATTAAAACTCCTGTTGTCGATTTCCTATCAGTACAGTTGCCGAAATCTGTTGGAGACGCATGAAGAAAACCACCAGTCAGTCAGAAGGGGGGTGAAGAAGTGATCTCCAAATTTATTGATCAGCCAAGCTGCTTATATATCTTTCTTGTGCTCTTTGCAAAGCTTGCATAGTAACAGTGAGCTGGATTACATCATTGGCAGAGTCATTGGCTAGAGGTGAGCTCATCCTAAGGTGAGGTAGCCTACAACCTACTATCAGTCCCAGGTCATGATGCCCCTTGCATCCCCTTGCCAATAAGGTGTGAAACATAGGTGTCAGAGGACTGGAATCTGCAACGTTCCCTTCAGAGGTATGGTTTGCCAGTCCCCCCTAGTGGTCCATTGCCATTCCTGCACCTCTGCACCAAAGACACAATAGTGTCTCCCCTATATAGATGACATTAATAATGATAATGTCCCTTCATCCCCCCTTTTCGTTTTTCAACAATTTGTATGCATAAAGGACATCACGCCTGGGAGGGGGTTGTAGGGGCCGTGGCTTGTATATATGCCACAGGGATGGGATGCATTGAATGCAGCAACAGCATATGATCAAACAGCTAGTTAACAGTAAAGCAATTTGAACCGCTCTTTTGATCCAGTTGACAGGAAGCCAGGTCATATATTAGGATATCATTTTGAGGCAGCGGGGAAAGGTCAGCAGAGCGTGAGGCTAGCAAGAAGCTTATAACAATGGGATATATATCAAATGTAGCAGTAGCAGATTATTATATAAGCCATCAATAGTTGTGTGGAATAAACAAATTAGATAATAAAAGTTTTACCAAGCAGGTATAGTGTTTTGCTTAAAATGTTAAGCTAAGTCTTTAAAAAACAACATGCATAAATATTTTGTTGAAGTTTGAAACAACACATAGAATTGACTGGAGGGTGAACATGGGAATGGGATTTTGGAGGCCTTGGTGCCACGTCATCTTTTTAGGGGCAAATGTAGCGAGCAGGAACCCAAAGCACTTGATTGAAGAAGCCAATGACAGAGAATGTGTGATTAAACAATGTTGTCAAAAGCAAGTCATGTTTGTTAAAGTTCATAGGTTTATGACAGCTGAAGCAGGAACTCTTGGTTCTTGGCAGGGGGTTGGACTGGATGGCCCACGAGGTCTCCTTTAACTCCTTGACTCTCATGATTTTAACTCAAATCGACCCGTCACAGCAGTATTTTTGACTTTAGGCGATGAGGGGAGCTGGGCCTTTTTATTCCGGATCTGGCAACCTGTATCAAGGGAGTGAAAGGGGGTAGGGAGAGGGAAATGCTTCTGGATCCTGGTAACGAAAGAAGAATCAGATAAAATTAAATTCAAATGATTAATGGTAAATAACACATATAGGAAGGCCATTGCTGGAAAGCTGTTGGAAAGCTGTTGGAAAGCGAAAGCAAAAGAGCAGGGAAGAGGCCAGGGGGCTGACTCCCCCTTTTGGTTTGTTTGTGTGTGAGAAGAAGCAGATGGTCTGTAGAGGTATGATTTGAAGCAATCTCGTTTTGTGTGGCCATTGTATGGAATGTTAAAGATGTGGGCAGAACATTGTGAATTTAGCATTGTAATATAAGGTATGTTGTAGCAGAGATGTTTATGAATGTAAAGGTATGTAAAAAAAAAAATGGTTGAGAAGAGATTTATTGGTTATTTAGACATGTGTATAGAATGTCATGTGTTTTGGTTTTTGTCATGGAAAGTAGTGAGGAAAATGAGGCAAAGAGTGTAAGCGGTTGTAGTTAAAATGACCGTTGTATTTAGGAGTTAATTAGCTGTGATATTTTATGTAGGATGGGGTGTTTATGAAACACCTGTTGATTGTATGTAGATAGTCTGTAAGTTTGTCATGAGTGAGATGTATAGGGATGGCTTGGGGACAGAACCAAAACTGTCCATGATGAAGAGATCAGATTAACTGAACATCTTGAAAAAACTGAGTGTGTTAAACCCAGGTCAATAATGGGAAGCCATGTTTAACCCCTAGCATTGAAATGGTATGATTTTAAAAACTTTGAAACTGGCACAGAGTTATAAAAGGAGAAAATGTTGTATTAAAATCTTTAGGGAATGTATTTTGAGCAATGTTATGGGTAAGTGGTTTTAATCTGTTGAAATATATGTGGATGAGTGTGACAATGATCAACAGTAGATCTGTTGGAAAACTTTAGTAATTGTGTAATGAGAAATGGATAATAGGTTTTGTAGTATGAGGATGAAAAGGCATGACCCTTATAGGGCTGTGTTTTGTTGAAGAGCAAGGATTGTGGTAGCTATTAATCAATCAATCAATGATTTATTATGGTCTTTGATCAGAAAATGGGCATCGGTGTGTAAGGAAGGGAATTGTAGTTTTTAAGTAGATTAGGCATGGAGGCAGAATGAAAGCACATTTAAAACATCTTATAACATTTTATAAAAGAGACAAATTAAAAGGATAAAATAGACTAACCAAGCATGTATCAAAAGGTAAACAATCATGAATCAAAAAAGTCATTTTAAAACAAACAGAAAGGGAGGAGGGAGGCAGCGTTGGTGTGTGTGTGTGTGTGTGTGTGTTTAGCTCTCGGAGCCTGGCCGTGTCTGGGACGGCTAGCTCTCTCTTGTGGAATGTATGCCCCCCTTCTCTTTGGGGTAGCGTGTCTGTCAGCTTGAGTCTCTCTCACAGAAGGGAGAGACTTTTTGATGGATTTTAGTGTTTTGTAAGGTAGATATCAATATATGTCTGGTTTTGAATATCGTTTTATTAACGTTTTTATGAAATAGGTATTTTAAACCTTTGGTTGAGATGTGGGTAATGAATAGGGGTGTGTGTTTGTAGTGTGGTAGATTTATGATATAATGGTTTGATCTATTGAAAGCTGAAACCAGACTTTTAAAAATGATGACTTTAGCGTGTTGTGTTTGATATGGATGGGGGAGTTTGGTGTCTTAGGAAAGGGAAAAGAACATCAAAAGAAACAAACAAAGCTATGATTTGTAGACTTAATAAACTCAATCTTAAAATGAACTAAGCAAGAATGTTTAATGTGTAATATGATTAATAACATAGCAAGATATGTTATCATGTAAGCATGTGTTGTCAACCAATGTTTTGTAAGAAGTGTGTTTTTGTGGAGCTGATTTATCTGTAAACATCAGATGAAATGTATGGTTTTTAGGTGTGATTAAAATTTAAAATTGTATGAGTTGAGTGTAATGTGAGTTTTATATATAATTGACCCTTTGAAATGAAAGGGACAAGAAGTTTTGTGTGTCAAGTTTGGTTTAATTTTATTGTTGGTGGAGTTGAGAATGTGTTTTTTGATTGTGAACTATGAATCTCAGGAACTATAACTCTTGATTTCTGAAATCAACACCAACTCTATCAGTATTTAAATTGTTGTGTATAGGTATGTGTATCAAACTAGATCAAGTAAATGAGAATCTATTTTGTATATCAGACATGTATATCACAATTTATAACAGTAGCAAACTTATAACTATAAAACAATAATAACAACAAGCAAACTTATAACTATGAAACAATAATAGCAAATGAAAACAATCTTAAACATCTCTCAGTTGAGGGTTAGTATAACATAAAGAATTGTCTGAAAGAGCCGTAGCATGAGGAAGGTTGGGAATCACTATTTAGATGTTGTATCG